AGGTTGACAAGTAAAAAGGCATAGTCCTGATGTCACCAAACCACATGGAAAGCCATTAATTCATGTCCATTGAAAGTCCCAAGGTTGGCAGAGCATGGCAGGCTGATGAACAATGACACGGCTATATGCAGGGTTCAAGCATGCCATAAGCTAGAGACCGTTCCCCAAGGCTTCTCCTTATATACAGGAAGCAGCACACATCTGCAAGGCAGCTACTCAGCTGATTCCACTATGGAGTTGATTACCAGTCTCCTGGACAGGGTTTTTGCCCTGGCTTGCAATACCACACTCTTTCCGCTACTGGCCCTTCTATTTTGGGGTGGCCAGAATAACCTTTTGTTTTTTAAAAAACCAAAAGATTAAAAACCCTGCCCAGGGGTAATGAACTTCTTCCTCCAATACTGCTTGGATTCTGTGAGACCATCAAGATTTACCTTTGATTGTTCCTTTAAAGACATTATTTTATTGCCCTTACAGGTCTCCAGCAATCTGCTTGCCAGCTGGGCTCTTACTGTGGCTGAAGTGCACAACCAATCCAACTGCTGGGTGTGTGGGGAACTGCCCATCTCATCTAGCACCAGATTGCCATGGATATTACTATTCGTGAATGAAACTCTGTGAAGCTGTTTTAATGACTGAAAAGACGTCTCCACTCCTAAGCAGAGTTCTGGTGGCATAGTGCCTAAGGCATCTGATTGCTAACCAGCAGCTGGAGGTTCAAACCCACCAGCCACTCCTCAGAAGGAAGATTAGGCAATCTACTTCCGTAGTACCCGAAGGGTCGCTAAGAGTCGGATCCAACTTGACAGCAGTGTTTTGGAGTTAGTTTTAATGTAGTTTGTAATGTGTCTTTGCCTTCCTTGAGTTTCACCCATAGTAAGATCTTTTCATTAGTTAGAGAACAAGTTAATGTTTCCTGCCCTATCAGACATGCTGTTTGGAATGGTTTAGGATGGTCTCATGCTGTGTCCATACAAGTAAACTCTGTATCTACCTGGTGTGTAGAAAGGCCACCAGGTAACCATAGCAAGGATATGGGATGGCTTTCACCACACCTCTGCAAAAACATTATTAAAATTAATAATACCATGTGGTTAGGAAAAAAAAAATATAGTAAAAGTGAGGCATTTCCCTCTCCATGGGGATGGCTATGGGCCTGTGGTGATTATGGCTGATCCTATTTACCTCATAATTGGACAGGGCGACACACCTGGGGACATCCCCACATCCCCAGTGTAATACATCCAACTCTGGCTGCATGCCCCTCCAATTGGGATACCTTTTTTCATCTACACTGGTGACAGTACTGTGCCAGCTGGTGGTTTTATCCTTGTTCTGGTTCCCTAGTGCTGCTCTGGCAAGAATATACCACAAATAGGATGGCCTTAAACAGGAGTTTATTCTTACAATTTGGAGGCTTTAAGTCCAAGTTCAAAGTGCCAGGCTCTAGGGGCTGGGTGAAAGCCCCTCACTCTTGAGCTTCAGCTCTGCCTCCTGCTCCTGGCCCACTGAAGCTAGAGGCCTTTCTTCACTCAGACAGCTGCTGGCTGCTGAGGCTGCCAAGCCCAATGTTGACAAGTAACAAGGCACAGTCCTGATGTTACCAAACCACATGGCAGGCCATTAATTCAAGTCCATTGTAAGTCCCAAGGTCAGCAGAGCATGGAAGGCTGCTGAGCAATGACAAAGCTACATGCAGGGTTCAAGCATGCCATAAGCTACACACCATTCCCAAAGCTGCTTCTTATATATGGGAAGCAGACCACATACCCAAAGCAGCTACTCAGCTGCTTGTGGTAGATCCCACCATGGAGTTGATTGCTAGTCTCATCATGGGGAATAACTACCACCAGCTGCCCAGCCACTCAACCAGGCCCAGCCAAGTTGACACACAAACATAACCACCACAATCCTCTAGTGCTTTTCACTCTTACCACCACCACTATAGATGTAGAGTGGCAGGTAGAAGCACTTGCTAAGCATACGGCTGCCACCTTAAATGAAACATCTCAAGCCATTGCCTTATTACCTGCAGAGACTACTCAAATGAGGAAAGTAGTTTTGCAAAACAGATTGGCTTTAGATATTCTAAGTGCTGCATGGGGCTGGGTGGGGAGGGGGGGGACCTGTGCTTTGATCCATACTGATTACTGTATTTACATACTCAATTATAATACTATTGATCAAGCTTTGCAACATATGTAAACTCACATTTCTGTTATCCAGCAATTAAGTGGAGACCCCATTTCTTCTTGGATAAATTCTTTACCGTCCACGTAAAGATATCTCTTATATAGAATTTCAGGATTTCTATTGATCTTGCTGTTTGGATGTTGCAGATTATATTGTATTTGTGGAATATGGTTGCAGTACTTGAACACCCAGCTCTGAGGGATAGAGCAGAAGAGAGGGTGCCCAGATTGTAAGGACCATTTTGGAATGCTGGGGTGGAGTGTACGGTCAGTAACTGCAACCTCCCAAAATGGCTCTCAGACTCCATCTTGTTTAGCCATGCTTATAAGAACTACAAGTCATTTCTTCTACCTCCACTTGTTATGTATTCCCCTGCTCCACCCTGTCAGGTATTAACAACCTTCCCTGTAATGTATTAACCTGTCCTTAGAATAGTGTTAAGTCATAAGGCTTGCTAGTGGCAGTGTCTTATCAGAGCACACATGGATGGTGGTCATAGGGCACTGCCTGGGGCTCCCTCCTGATCAGGACCTGGCACCACCAAGTCTGAAGCCAGTCAGTAGTCCTCCATTCCCAGTCATCCAGCTCCCATCCTCAATTCCTCAAACTTGGGTATAAGTATCCCCACAAAGTGTGAGGGAGTTTGTGGTCATGTTGGATCCATTCTGGCCTGCTGCCACTGGATGCTGAATTGTTAGCAACGTTTGTAAGCCTACTTTCTTTATCTTTTTAATCCTTCCTTTCCTTATTCCTTTTTGTTTCTCTTCTGAATAAACATTTATGTCTCTGACTATACCTCCGGGGAAGTTTTTCAGACTTTTGTTGCCTACTCAGGAGGAAGTTTTAACCTTCTTGGAAAATTCACATAGCAAGGAACAACTCATACCACCCCTTTGCCCTACCCAGTTCTTCTCCCAAAGAAGGGAGAGAAAGGTGGGTGGAGAATCAGAAATGGCAAAGCCAGGAAAAGGGACCTGGGCTCAGGCCATCCTGCATAAACAAAGGGCTGGCAAACCTTGGCTTTTTCTTACATTTAAATTCTCAGTTATCGGGCTCCAAAGGGATGTGGGTACACAGTAAGATATGCGAATGTGCCTTGAAAAGTAAAAATACTACGAAGTGCAAGCAGGGTTAGTCTGCAGGGCACTGGGCACTGCCTCCCTCAGTTCACGCCCTCTCCCACCTGCTGATGATGGCATGGAGGTCCTGCTGTTTTGGTTGCTAGCATTTTCATGCCAGTGAGACAGAGTACCATGTGCAGTGAAGGTTTCCTGAGGGCAGGACTGGGTCGTCAGGACTATTTTGTGAGCTTCTCTCACCCATAGCATCTGTCAGGGCTGAGCACACTGGAGGTGCTCAAAGTTTATTGCTTTGATTCATATTTCCTTGGAAAGGTCTACCACCCCATGTGATGGCTACATCATCATGGATGGCAGAAAAACTCACACCTCCTTGTCTATCCCTCTGGACCCAACCCTGCAGTGGGATGGTGATCATGGCAGCCTGGCCAGGGGGCTCCTGGCTCATCCAGCAGCACTGGCCGAGGCCTCCAGGCCATAGCCTCTGTATGTGTGTCTTCTTCCCACTGGATCAAAATCCTTCCAGAATGGGTGGGAAACATAGCCTTGCTTTGGATGAGCCAATCAGATGAGAACCATAACATGGTTGTGCCTGCCACATCTAGCCTGGTATGGCTCTATACTGAGGACCCCACTCTGGGGTCCACTGTCTCGAATGTGGGACCCTCGATCCCTCATAAGAAAAACCACTCTCTCTTGCTGGCAGTCAGAGAAGGCAGTGCTATCTTGCTGCCCCAATAAACAGCCTCTGCTCTAGCTCTGCTCCTCCAAGGACACCTGACAAAAACCACACCCCCTTGGAAAAGTCACCTCCTTCTTTATTTCCATGGAAACCATCCTCCTATGTGGCTGCAGGAGATGAGAAACTGACCTCACCCCATCTCAAGAGCCCACCATATAAACTTATTAAAAAAACACAACCTCTACCCTATATGTGCAATTGCATATTAATTTTTTATTTTTTTTCCCCAAATGCTTCTTTTTAAAATGGCCTTGGAGATCCACCCACAGTGATACCATTACAAACACTTGGAATCAGCAGAAACAAAGCTAGTTATAAGACATTAACTTGACTGCCACCTTGGTTGGCTCCTGCTTGGAAGATCTTAACCTTCAAGTCACTTGACATGGGTTTGCCTCTACCATGTCGTTTGGATTTGATGGGTTTGGGAACAGCACCCCAGAACATCCCGAGTCCTGGCTGATGCCAGAGAGCCTCGGTCCTATCCTACACAGAATAAAATACATAATAAATAAGTGCTTCCAACATGTGCTGCTTGAGAGTTTCCAGCTGGGAAGGTGTCCAGAAAGTGTTATCCAGAATCTTCAAATGGAATCTCACTTCAATTGCCCAGAGGTTCTGGGGCCCCCTTGGCAATCCTCTAGGTCGCACTGAAGCAAGCAGTGAGAGGAGAGATGGACTGAGGAAGGGGATAGGATGATGCCTGCAGGTTGCTGAAGACTTTTGTGAGAACCACAAATTTACCCATGGTTTGCTGGATGGGCCTCTCTTCCTGGTGAGCAAGGAATCGTGGACCTGTGTCTTGGGTTTGAAGCAACAGACCTAGAGGCTTATGCTTTTGGCAGGATGGCTTAGAAAAGGGAGAAAATGGACTAGAATCCTAGATCATGGATGTCTACACAAGCTTGCTTCTCTTGGAGATACCTGGGAGCTGGGGCTTCTCCCCTTGGTGCTGGCCTTTGCGGGGAAGAGAGGCTGACAGGGCTTTAGCAGCTGGGATTTTGGTCCAGCTGCTGCAACATGTCCTGCAGAGACCCCTGCAGCCTGCTTAGGGCCACCACTTCAGTGGAATAGAGAGAGGACTCCAGGACACTGCTCAAGCTCTTCAAGGTCTGCTGCTCATTGGTCTCGGAGATGGTGCAGCCCTTGGATGTAGCCAGCATGTAGAGAAGGTCCCGAAGATTCTGTAGGTCATGGGATATTTGGACCACATTTCTGGAAGGCAGATGGGTGAGGACCTGCTTGTAAATCACTAATATCTGGTCCATCTTGGACAAGCTCCTGGTAGGGTGGAGCTCAGGAATGAAGTCCAAGCCAGTGACCTTCTGTTTGGAGGAGACAGATTGCTGTGTAGGAGGAAGAGGGGTAGTGAGAGCTCAGTAAGGAGGGAAAACCACAACTCCTCAGGGTCCTGAGGCCTTTCCTAGGAGGTGGAGGGCCATGCTTCTGGTTGCCTCCTTCCCCTTCTTTACCATCCCAGACCCTGATCTGCTGAACCCAGGGGACGCTGAGCTTCTCTCTGGCTGATCTTCCAGACACCTCCCTGCCCTTCCCAAACCACTCTATCTGCTATTCCCAGGCCAACCTGTTCAACCTTCCCTTCTTCAAGTGGCCTCTGCTGAAGAACCCGCATGACTCCCTGTTTCTTATTTAGGTCCCAACCCATTGCCATTGAATCCATTCTGACTCATGGTGACCCCATGTGTTACAAAATAGAACTGCTCCATGGGATTTTCTTGGCTGTAATCTTTACGGAGCAGATTGCCACCTTTTCTTCCATAGTGCCATTAGGTGGGTTCAAATCAGCAACCTTTAGATTCATAGTTGAGCACAAACACTTTGTGCCACCCAGGGGCCTCTATCTAGGTCCAAGGCCTTCCATAAACCCCCACACCACTACCGCCATCCCCAGCCATCCTCATTCCAAGGAAGAGCAGTGCCTGTGCTTTCAGTAGGTGCCTGGCATTTAAGAGGGTTACTCAAGATCCTGGGACCCCCAGGATTCCTACCATATGTGAAATGTGATTGATCCTGGTGACAATGATCTTGATGAGGGTTTTGGCATCATTTTGGATTTTTTGGGTAGGCACCGCTTGAATGTAGGACAAGAAGGGCAAAAGCCACAGGAAGTGACACAGGGTTCCACACCGCATTTTCCTCCCCACAATGGACTTCTTGAGCCTGGAAACAGAAGGAACCATATGTTGCAAGGAGATCGCTTCTCAGAACCAAGGGCGGGTTACCCAGTAAGCAAGTTACTCACTAATCTTACGCACAAGTAAGCCCTGCTCATTACCTTGCTTACTGGGTACTCTGTCCCTGTCGGGGATCAAAATTGGAAAAGAGGCTTGGATCCTGGAGGAAGGTGCTGTGGGGTTGGGAAAGAGACAGATGCCAGCTGCACCTAGAAGCAGAATCTTTGATGTGATGAAAAATGTGAAATTGTCCATTACAGATTAGTAAGTAAGCACAAGTAAGCCTGTGCTTACCTGCTTATTGAGTAAACATCTATATGCTCTGTCAGCAACCACATGAGCAAATATGGATAACATGAGATTCTCATTCTGTCCCACCAACCTTCTTTTCTCCTCAAAAGACAATTCATTATCTAGAAATACATCAATGAAATACCTTCCCTTTGGAAGAGGCAGGGCCTCAACAATAAATCCACAGAAGGTATCCTGTAGACCACAGAGCAGTAAGCCAGGGCGTGACCGGTGGGACTGTAGTGACAAGGTGGCCCTGACTGCCTGGTCCCAGGGAAAGAGAAGAGACTTTTAAAGTCTGGATTGAACCCAGTCATTTTCGAGCTGCATGGTCTCAAGCATATTACATAACCAGTAAGCACTCCCCTTCATTCCCTGTAATAGACCCATCTCCAGGTGTTTATGAGGACCAAACTACATAATGCAGTGAAAGACCTTTACAAGGTGTTGTGAAATGTTCCCGGTTACTACCCTGTTGTTAGAGTTTATGTTACCTGGCCTCACTGCAACTGCTGATGGCACCACGACAGCATCCATCACTTGCTTTATTACTCCCTTTCTGTCCCACTGGGAGCAACCTGAACTCAATTCACATTTATGGAGGGTCCAATGATATGTCAAATACAGTAGTAGGCACCAAGGGTACAATAGTGAACATTACAAGTAGCTTACAGTTGAATACGAGGGACAAACACGTGAACAGGAAATCCCAACACAGGAAGAGAGAGTTTTGCTAGAATTACGAGATCATATGGGGGTACTAAGGGGCTCCTTGGAAGAGGTGTCACATGAGTTGCACATTAAAGATCAAGTAGGGGTTAATAAGAGTAGAAAGTGAGTGGTTAAAGGCAGAAAGTGAGCATGTAGGAAGACAAGATGGGAGAGAGAACATAACATGCTCACCCAGAATGCGTGAAACTTTCAAAATCATAGAACCATGAACTCTAAAATTAACAATATGCAGATCCTTGATTAAACAGCAAAGTTTTAATGAGATACATGAGGCAAGTGGTAATAAAGTTAAATGTATGTGTGTCTAACAGCCAATGAGCCGTGTTAAGTATATGTGCACGAGTCTGAAATAATAACAAAACGTCAGTAAATATTAGGATGAAGCCTCTGGAGATGATAAAAAAATTAATCCCTGCTTTTTGTGTTCATCTTTATTTGGGTCTTGGTAGAAAAAGGTAATATATTTTCTGTCCATAAGTGGAATTAATAGTATAATTCATTTTTAGTCAAAGGCATTGAAAGAAGCAGTCTGTTTACATAGTGTTTATAATCCTTGATCAAAGGCATGGTTTTTGATCTGAATTTGATAGAAGAGGTAAAAACAAGGCTCAAGGAGCTGAGTTACTTTACCTAAAGTCACACAGGTAAGTCACACCCAGGGCTGCCTGACCCAGGGTGGCTGCGGTCTTCCACCCCACCCACCAGCTTCTCCAGCCTTTCAAGAGAGAGCCCAGGTTCAGTCAAGGGCTGCTCTTGGGAACACGGCATTCGAGCAAATGTCCTGGTCGACAGTGAAGCTGTGGGATGGTGTCTCCATCTAAACTTCAAATTTGAAAAATGCTAAGTAATCTGGGGAGAGATACTTCAAATGTTTCGTGCTTGTTTTCTCTCTTAAAAAAATTACAGTTCACTCTAAGCCAACCAACCAGTTGACGCTGATTCCAATTCATAGTAACCCATGTGCATGAGAGTAGAACTATACTCCTACACAGGGCTTTCAATGGGTGACTTCTCAGGAGATGCCCAGGTGTTTCTTCCGAGGGACCTTTGGATGCCTTTGAACCTCCAACCCTTCAGGTACAAGTTGAGTGATAACCATCTGCATCACCCAGGGATGCCATGATTTTCTCTACCTGAGTAATTCAGTTAAATAGTGTAATCTCTGTTACGATTCCATGAAACCTCAGCAGAGGTGGGTGGTAGAGTGGTTAGGCTCTGAGGCTCTAGCAGCTGGCCTCTGCCCTTATTAGCTGTGTGTCTCTGGGCAAGTTACTGGATTTCCCTCCAACAACAGTTCCCACCTGTAAAATGGGGCTAATAGGCTCAAAAGGGTGAATGCAATGAAGCTGATAAAACCACTGCCTACTGTGTGTATATGTGTGTGTGGTGCGTGCATGCATGCACGTGTGCATACACATGTGTGCACACATGCAGGCGAAGTGGGAAGTAAATGTTGGTGCTTTTTATTGTAATAACTGGGTACATCTTGGAAATCTCAGCTAACATGACCTGAAGGTCCACCTCCGAATCAATCCTGAGGCCCACTGCTTCCTGTCGGCCATGTCAGCATGGTGTCTGGTATTTCTGGGTCTTGTGGCACAAGACTGAGTTGTATCCTTTTCTAAGAATTGTATTGATGGCACCCTCCTCCTCATGAGAAATGATTCCCAGATTAGCTCTGGTTATAGCCACTCTCACATAATGACCACCCTTTAACGCCTGAATGGGAAAACAGTTTTATAGGCCCCTCCATCAACTCTGATAATACGCTTCAGTGGATGCTGACAATAAATGGCAGCTCGTTTGAAATGTGGAATTGAAAAGTCAAGTCAGTCTGCCTAAGGAGTGAAGAGAGGGCACGTTTATGGGGATCCATGGAGGACCACCAGAGTGGGCAGAGGGAATTGGTAACAGGTCCAGCTGAGGGCAACTTGATGGGGAGAATCTGCCCACCAACATACATGACATCTAAGACACATTCACACACAACACAAGCACATACACACACATGTGAATGAGCACACACGCACACACACACACACACCCCTTGTCGTAGAGGCTGCTCAAACCAAAACCAAACCAATGTCATCAAGTTGAATCTGACTCACAACAACCCTATAAGACAGGGTAGAACTGACCCATAGGGTTTCCAAGACTATAAATCTTCATGGAAGCAGACTGCCACATCTTTATCCCACAGAGCAGCTGGTGGGTTTGAACCACTAATCTTTTGGTTAGCAGCCAAGCGCTTGACTACTGTGCCGCCAGAGATCCTCTAGAGGCTGCTAGTTGCCTCAGATACCTATTCTTCACTTTTTCCCCAATACCAGAACTCCCAAGCTTTAGATAGAGATGCAACCATCCAGGATAAATGCTACATTTCCCAGCTTGTCCCAACTAGGTGTGCCCATGTGACTCAATTCTAGCCAATGAAATATAAGCAGAAGTGTCAGATGACAGTTCCCAGGATTCTGTTGTGAGCTTTTCACACATTCCTCCATCCTGATACCTAGTAGCATGTGGAAGCAAGAGTTCCAGCGCCACCTTGGACCAAGAGGACAAGATGGAATTGTGGAGTAAGGAGCCGAAGGAGACAAGGTCCCTGAGGAGTTTGTGGGGGCAAAGATGCCACGCCAGCCTTGGACTATCTAACTTGGGACCACTGTTATTTTGGGTTTCTGCTAAATCCAGCCAAACATAATGGTAACTAATTTAGCATACCATATTCATGATATTCATGAACATCAGAATAGAGTGGATGTCAAGTTTCTTGGTTCTCCAGTGAGACCATCTTGCCACAAGCTTCGTCTCCAAACTTTCACATGAGTTGTAGTACGTGCGTGGGGCCTGGCCATGACTCCAGCAGGGGAGGAGGATGGTTGGCAAGAGCAGGATTTGGGGTCTGGGAGGGGAGGGATAATTGCAGACAACAAATACAATTTCACCTAGCACAGTGCCTGACACATCATAGTTTGATACCAAGAGCTAAGCAAACTTACTGCCCATTGTGGGCCAGGTACAAAGATGCAAAGAGATGTGGACACAGGACAGTGGGAGGCAGGAGGGAAGGGGCAGGAGGCTGATGGTCTTCCCAGGAAGCTTGTCTATCAAGTGCATCAAATCAGTATTTGCTTTTACTAATTATATATATTATTTGCAAAATTAAATAAATATTTTGTTTGAGTATTTACATTAAATAAAAGTATAGAACAAAACTGCTCTCAAGGAACTGGTTTAAGAATCAGATGTTTATATAATTAATGTTTAAATAGACAAAATGCCTTTGCCTTGGGTAACCCAGGGGAGGGAGTCCAAGAAGGCGCAGTGGCTAAGCGCTCAGCTGTTAATTGAAAGGTGAGTGGTTCGACCCACCAGCTGCTCTGTGAGAAAAAGATGAGGCAGTTTGCTCCCATAAAAATTACAGCCTTGGAAACCCCACGAGGCTGTTTTCTGTCCTGTAGGGTTGCTATGAGTCAGAAACAATGGCAACAAGTTTTGGGGTTTGGTGCCTGGTCCATGGGCAACCCCAATAAATGTTAGCTGTTATCATCATGATTTCTAGTTAAGGAATCAGGGAGGCTTCCTGGAGGAGGCAGCATCTGAGAGGGTCCTGAGGGGGGGGGGGCTGGGGCAGCCCTGGCAGACAGTACAGAGGCAGAACACAGCCAGGTTCAGAGCAGGTGACTCACAGTTGGCATGAGAGAGGGGTGTGCAGGGTGGTGAGGACAGGGAATGGTTGGGTTGGGATTGTTGAAGGTTGTGAGTGCCAGGTAAGAAGTGAGGTCTCCCTCTGTGGAAGTGAAAAGCACAGTCTGGCTGATGAGAAGGCCCGAGATGGATATTGGGAGAGAAAGGAAAGGTTTAGGAATGGGGGGGCTTTGGACATGCTGTTTTGCTGCACTTGCGGGACACTTAGGTTCAGAAAGAAAGGGCTG